GGGTTTATCCTGACCCAAGGGCCGGGCAGCCGCAGGTCGCGAGGTCGACAGGGGCAGGGCCGAGGGGCCGCCGGGCGCCCCTCCCCGGGCCTCGGGGCGGCGGCTACTTACTTTTGTTACTGTTGTCGCTGGGAACGTCCTCGGAGCCCTCGGTGTCATCCTCGTCGTCCCCGGAGGAGATGGCGTCTGCATGCGAAAGAACATACCCGTGGGTGGGTGTGTGCTGAGCAAGAGGCTGCGGTCACCTCCCGCCTCGTCCTGGGGACAGGGACAGGGACAGGGACAGGCTGCTGTCACCTCCGCCTCATCCTGGGGACAGGGACAGGGACAGGCTGCTGTCACCTTCCGCCTCGTCCTCGGGGACAGGGACAGGGACAGGGACAGGCTGCTGTCACCTCCGCCTGGTCCTGGGGACAGGGACAGGGACAGGCTGCAGTCACCTCCCGCCTGGTCCTGGGGACAGGGACAGGGACAGGCTGCTGTCACCTCCGCCTCGTCCTCNGTCACCTCCCGCCTCGTCCTGGGGACAGGGACAGGCTGCTGTCACCTCCCGCCTGGTCCTCGGGGACAGGGACAGGGACAGGGACAGGCTGCTGTCACCTCCGCCTAGTCCTCGGGGACAGGGACAGGGACAGGCTGCTGTCACCTCCGCCTGGTCCTCGGGGACAGGGACAGGGACAGGCTGCTGTCACCTCCCTCCTCGTCCTGGGGACAGGGACAGGGACAGGCTGCTGTCACCTCCCTCCTCGTCCTGGGGACAGGGACAGGGACAGGCTGCTGTCACCTCCCTCCTCGTCCTGGGGACAGGGACAGGGACAGGCTGCTGTCACCTCCCTCCTCGTCCTGGGGACAGGGACAGGGACAGGCTGCTGTCACCTCCCTCCTCGTCCTGGGGACAGGGACAGGGACAGGCTGCTGTCACCTCCCTCCTCGTCCTGGGGACAGGGACAGGGACAGGCTGCTGTCACCTCCCTCCTCGTCCTGGGGACAGGGACAGGGACAGGCTGCTGTCACCTCCCTCCTCGTCCTGGGGACAGGGACAGGGACAGGCTGCTGTCACCTCCCTCCTCGTCCTGGGGACAGGGACAGGGACAGGCTGCTGTCACCTCCCTCCTCGTCCTGGGGACAGGGACAGGGACAGGCTGCTGTCACCTCCCTCCTCGTCCTGGGGACAGGGACAGGGACAGGCTGCTGTCACCTCCCTCCTCGTCCTGGGGACAGGGACAGGGACAGGCTGCTGTCACCTCCCTCCTCGTCCTGGGGACAGGGACAGGGACAGGCTGCTGTCACCTCCCTCCTCGTCCTGGGGACAGGGACAGGGACAGGCTGCTGTCACCTCCCTCCTCGTCCTGGGGACAGGGACAGGGACAGGCTGCTGTCACCTCCCTCCTCGTCCTGGGGACAGGGACAGGGACAGGCTGCTGTCACCTCCCTCCTCGTCCTGGGGACAGGGACAGGGACAGGCTGCTGTCACCTCCCTCCTCGTCCTGGGGACAGGGACAGGGACAGGCTGCTGTCACCTCCCTCCTCGTCCTGGGGACAGGGACAGGGACAGGCTGCTGTCACCTCCCTCCTCGTCCTGGGGACAGGGACAGGGACAGGCTGCTGTCACCTCCCTCCTCGTCCTGGGGACAGGGACAGGGACAGGCTGCTGTCACCTCCCTCCTCGTCCTGGGGACAGGGACAGGGACAGGCTGCTGTCACCTCCCTCCTCGTCCTGGGGACAGGGACAGGGACAGGCTGCTGTCACCTCCCTCCTCGTCCTGGGGACAGGGACAGGGACAGGCTGCTGTCACCTCCCTCCTCGTCCTGGGGACAGGGACAGGGACAGGCTGCTGTCACCTCCCTCCTCGTCCTGGGGACAGGGACAGGGACAGGCTGCTGTCACCTCCCTCCTCGTCCTGGGGACAGGGACAGGGACAGGCTGCTGTCACCTCCCTCCTCGTCCTGGGGACAGGGACAGGGACAGGCTGCTGTCACCTCCCTCCTCGTCCTGGGGACAGGGACAGGGACAGGCTGCTGTCACCTCCCTCCTCGTCCTGGGGACAGGGACAGGGACAGGCTGCTGTCACCTCCCTCCTCGTCCTGGGGGCAGGGGCGCCAACAGCCCAGGGGCCCAGGTGACAAATCTGAGGCCGCGTTTAGCTGAGCTGGTCTTGGGGCCTAAACTTCCTCCCCGTGGGGACAGCGGCCTGATTACGATCCTGTGTTTGCTGCTCTCGGGCATCTAACCGTCTCCTGAAGCTGGACATGCAGAAGCTGGACTGGTCCCCAAGTCCCCGCAAGCTTCCGATGGCGTGCAACCCACAGATCCTCCCAGCAAAACCTCGCAGCACCCGGGGTCCCCTCCGAGGAAGGGATTCGCCCCCGAGGGAAGCTCAGGCCCCGTGTGACCGTGGACCGGTCACTAACGTTCTGAAAACAAAACTTTAAACTCGGCCACCAAGCAGGGGGCCTGCGCAGTCCCCCGCACGGCATGGAAGAAAAATCCAGGAGAGAAACGCAAATTTTAACGAAAGGAATCAGGAATCTCCAGCATCCAAATTTGAGTCCTACACGCTGAATGCCAGGGATGCGGGGGGGATGTGCTCTCACTTGTGTGAAAGTGCGCTGTCCTCGCAGAAAATGTTCCTCTGCACATCAGAACCCATCGTTTCTAAGGACCAGCCCCTCTGACCTGCTAGGTCCCCAGGATAAACTTCAACAGCAGATAAATAGCAAACTGTGAAGCTCTGTGCCCGGCCCCCAGGGAGCAGATCCCATCGTGATTTCACTTGCCCCGGAAAACGCTACAGAGAAGAGGGAGCAGGGGGCTCGCGGGCCGACTCACCTGTGACATTCACCACGAAGTAGACAGTCTCACTGTCTACCGTCCTAGCGGCGGAACAAGCATAGAGGCCGGAGTCGCCAGGCGTGGCGCCTCTTATCTGCAAGTACTCCCCAATAAGCACTGTCCTATTGCTGGGCCCCAAGTGTACCCCATCCTTAGTCCAACTGATCAGGGCGGCATCTCTCAACCGGCAGCGCAACTCTAGCGACTCCCCGGGCGCAGCCACGTAAACTTCTGGTTGGGAGATTTGGTATTTGGTTGGTGGCTCTGCAGAAAGTGGGAGAGAGAAGGTGGAGACAGGTGGGAAGGAGTGGAAGACAGAACGTCCAACACAGGCCAGGGGAGGCCCCTCTAGTCCCAGGACAGCAGCTCTTGCTTTGCAAAGGGCCCCAGCAGGCTGGCCTCTCCCCGCCACCCCAGGGGGCCAGGGCCCCCAGGAAGCCCGCACGCGGCCCTTGGGCACAGAGCTGAGGGCCTGAAACAAGCCGAGGAAGCACCCAGCACAAGCTGCCCCACGTAGTGACCACGCACCACAAGGCTTTAACCCCAAACCCGAAACCCAGCGCGGAAGGGTGTTGCCCAAGAAAACTGAAGTCGATGGTCAATCCACAGCCTGCCTGCAGCGCAGTCCGCAGATTCCGTCGTAAGGACGTGTGGTTTTATGTGTTTTAGAAACTTTTCATTCAACATAGCTGCATGGCTGTGTCCACGGGCACGCACATGCATGCGCCCTCCTGCCCACGAGCATGCACACACGTGTGCACAGAAGCACGTGCACACACCTATTGACCACGCTGGACTTGGCCTGTCGTCACAGGGCTGAGCTTCTGAAAACGCCTCACACTCAACACACACTAACGGTCGGGTCCTTCCACAAAGCTGCTGAGTTTCCAGGAGCTCTCGGGCTCAGACTGGAACTTTGCTCGACTGAAGGGTAAATTCTGTGCTGGGTGAGCTGGGACAAGCGGTTTTTCTTAACGTGATACAAGCCTACACCAAAAGCACTACGTGAAACGCGCGAGACAGCCAAGAGGTGGTCTCCACGGTACTTAAACGGACCCAGAACCGAAGCCACTGAGCTCTGCACGCCAGACACTCCACACAGCCCATGCTAAAGGCTGGGCCCTCCCTGCCCGCCTCGGGGTGAGGCAGGAGGGACGTGGACCCACCCCTCCTCTGCCATCTGCCCACGTCACCACCAGCTCCTGGGGACAGCCCACCTTCCTGTTGAATGTGTCCTGTCTCCTGAGGAAACACCAAGATCCCAGAGGGGGGCTTGGGTCTCGTGGCTGTTTGTGGGTCCCTCCCTCCACGAGGGCCACCCCAGCATATTCGTGGAAGGCGGCCCGTGTTGATCACCACGGTTTTCCTGGCACACGGCCTGCTCCCTGTGCGTAATGAAGCTGCTTGCTGTCACTGTGCGGGGCTGTCACCGCGGTACGATCTCGGGGTGAAGAGTTGCTTACAAGACCCCGCGGCCTGAAGAGCGACCGTCTCGCCCTTTACAGAAGGTTTGCCGACCTCTGCATAGGATGGTCAGAGACGGCTTCTCCAAAGAGAAGGACAGGTGATGTGGCAAAGATACTACTGAGAACACAGTCGGAAGGGCCTCAGGCCGCACCTCCCGAGGCTGTTGACTCCTGAGGCAACTGAGCCCAGTGACTGATCAATGTATTTTGAACTCTGGATCCTGAGCAGAAAGGGGAGAGGAAGAGACGATTGGGACAGAGGGCAGGGGGTGGGAGAGGGGGAGGAAACAGAACTCAGCTTGACCCCGAGTCTCAGGCCGTCTCCAGCATCCTAGTCACAGATTCACTCAAGGTCAGAACTGCCGGCCGAACACCACCCAGTCCAGCCCTATTGACATCCTGTCGGGGCAGAGCTCAGATGTCCTCTGGGTCCCCCGTTTCCAACAACTAACCGCGGAAACAGCACACACCATGTCAGAATGAACTTACGGTAATCAGCCTGGGCCACAAAATAATATTTATTAGCACTACGTCAGGTGACCTGCAGGTCACCAAGGATGTCACGGGACCGGCTCTCCTCCGGGTCAGTCTGGCCATCAGGAGATTCCTGCGCAGGGGAGCCGCTGGGCACACACAGAGAGACAGGGCCCCCCGGCAGCCCGCCCGCCCTGGCCTGGCCTCAGAGAGAAGCCGGGTCCCTGTGTCCTGGGGGCGGCAGAGGCTCTAAGACTGTGTGACAAATAAAGAGAAGCGCGACACTGGCAATCAGGATGCAGCAGAATCTCTCCCGACACAGGTGCAGTTGCGATTTCTCTGTTTTTAAAGAAAATCATTTCACAGGGAATCCTTGCCTTCACCTGAAACAGCTAAGCCTCCCAGTCTCGCCGAAACTAGTGCGCCTGAGACGCTGGACCCGTGTCCCCAGGAGGACACCAGGCCCTGTGGGCTGGGAGAGCAGGTTGGTGCAGCGAGGCCTCGAGGACCCAAGGAGCCAACCAACGGGAGCCTGATCCTCTGACCTGCACCTCGTTAGGCCCCGACGGTCGGGGTGGCGGCCGGGGTCGCTGTCCCCGCGCCTGGCAGCCTCCCTAACAGGCGGGCGCCTCGCCCGACTCCACCAAGGTGAGCGGCCTGCTCTGTAAAACGACAATAGTTGGCTCAGAGCAAAGAACCCCCCGGGAGGTTTAAACAATATTACCATCTCCCGCCTTATTTTTCCTGGTGCTACCACATGCTTTTAAGCTTTCTGATTTGGGGGAGCAGGGAGAAACCCCCACGGAGCGCACCGTGGGCAGACAGCTCCCTCAGCCCTTCTCACCCAGGCACAGGGAGGGAAGGCTCCGGAAGCCACCCTGCTCCGCACCGAGTGCTCCTGCAGAGCCGCCACACGCGTGTTCCCAGCGTCTGTCCCGGTGTGAACTGACGTCTGAAAGGAGCGAGGGAGCTGGAACGAGCACACGGGCGTGTCCGACGCTCCCTGTCCCTGTGACCTCAAGCTGCTGGACGCACAGGCCGAGTTTACCTTCTGGGAGGCTCACGCCCGCTTCTCCTCGCTGCCGCCCCACAACCAACCGGGGGGCTCGGGCCTCCACGGGAACTCGGTCCCCAGAAGTTTCAACCACGTGACAAGTGCCAGCAGCACAGGGGTCAGCTTCTCTCCAATAAACTGTCGGCTCTGCTATTTCACAGCAGCAGGGAGACGGATACTTCCCCAACGGGTCAGAAACGGAAGGTGTGCGTGCCCCGCACAGACCAAGCCCTGCCCTGAGCTGGGGCCCCTCCCCTCCCCTCCCCTAAAAACTCCTCAGGCCCTTGTCTCTGGGAAGCTAATGGGGAATTGAATGGAGGGGCCTCCACCAGGGAGGAGGAGCCTGAGGCAGGGCTACCTCGCTTTCCAAGTCCCCTGGCCGATCGGGGTAGGAGAGTCACGCCCTCATGTCTCCGTGTGAGGTCACGCCGATGTCACTAGCTCATGAATCTGCCTCTCGGTGACACACACGAGGAACAGATTCTCCGTGCATGAGCGGGGCCCTAATGGGGAACTCTCGTGAGATCCGGAAAGGCTGTGGCTTATGGGACCTCGTCGCACATACCCCGCCGGGCACCCAGCGCGGTCCTCTCCCCGCCGATGTCATCTCGAGACAGCCGGGGCCGGGGCGCTGAATGAGCTATTTCAGGTAACACTCTGGGTTGCCAAGCCCGCGATAGCAGCACTTCAGGCTGTCACTTTTTATAATGTTTGCCTATAAACTTCTGCCGTGTGGTTTTTGAAATGGCTCCCAAATGCAAACAGAGAACAGATGGGAGGCCCGCGTCCCGCCCGGTCCAATCGCGTCGTGGGGCGCGGACGACAGACTTAAACTGTTAGGGAAGAGAAGGCAGTTTGTGCCCCGGGACAGCTCCCTGCGTCGCATTTCACAAACCGAGCCTCTTCTGGGGTCTCCTCCAGACGGTGTCTCCCCAAAGGTCAAGATTCATCAGAGCTGAGAAACGGGAACCCCGGCTTCAAGCACACAGCGGGGTCACCCTGGAACGCATCCCCCAAAGCTTCTCCCCCTCAGAAAGTCAGGGTGCTCAGGCCCCCAACACACCCCTGCAGGAAGGGGGGAAGGGGGGCAGGCGCCAGGCAGGGGAGTGTAAACGCAGCGGAGCCCGACCTGCTAGGGGCGTGGGCTGCAGGGAGAAGCCTGGCTAGGCTCCCACGGGACCTCGAACTGGGCGCCTGGGGCCAGAGCAGGAAGACGGCCTTGGGTTCCTGGGGCCTCCCTGACATTCTGGCACCTGGGACAAGAGAACCCCCATCACTGCTGTGGGGCTGCCGCGTCCCCACAGAGAAACAGAGGGACTGGCACCACAGTGTCACAGGGCACAAGACCAGGCAGGTGACCGGAGGCTGGTCCTGTCTGTCCTGGTTCACCTGGTCATTACGCGGCCTGGAGGGGCCACACCAGGCCCTGGGAAGAGCTTTCAACTGGCTGGCCCCCGATTTCCCGTTCATCAGAAGGGAATATGGAACCCTCATGTCCACGGCACCCTGGAAGCGTTTTTCACGAGCATGAGTGGGGGGAGTCTGGACAGACAGACACTCGTCAGTGTTTCACAGCATCGGGGCTTCAGAAGAGTGGACCCCCACTTTCCACTGGCACAGTTTCCATCTGGTTGGCATCAAAATTTACCAACAGAAAGAGATAAAAGTACTGAGGTCCCACAATCACGTCAGAAATGACCGTCCCCGTGAGCCCTGGCCCGGGGCTCCGCAGACACACGGACAACGAAGACAGAGACGGAGCGGCTGCTCCAGCTCAGACGCCCCCGGAGCCTCCGCGTTACAGGAACAGACTCGCAGGAGAGCAAAACCGACACCAAACGGCGCCTTATAAGGAAGGCGGAGGTGCCACTCGTTCTTAAGGGGGGGCAACTACTCTGCACAGTTTAAAAGATGAGAGGTCTCCGCCTCAAGAAACACGGCCCGACGCAAAGACGGCGGACAGAAAGGAGTCACGGGCCCGGCCTGGGCGGCTCAGGGGGCTGGAGTGTCGGCCCGAAACGCCAACGCTCTGTCAGTCCCAGGACCTCAACGTATACAGGCTGCTCCAAAAATGTACAACACGCTTTGGATAATTGTAAAGGCAGATTTCATTTTCAAAACTGAGCTATCAGCTGTTAAAGTGTGTATACATTTTTGGGGACACCCTGTTGTTTAGTGGTTCACCACCTGATGTCATTCTGTTCACATGTGTGTGCATGTGGGGGTGTGTGTGTGCATGTGGGGGTGCATGGGGGGTATGTGGGGGGGTG